GACTTAAAATCAGCTTTTACAGCTGTTAGAATTACCCATTTAGAAGTGGGTCCGAGAAGATTTTGGAAACAATATGCAAATTGTTTTTAAATTGTTTTATGTTATAGTGCTTCTTTTATGTGCATACTGTGCATAGCAATGTGAGCACACTGTAAAAAAAAAACAAGTTACATTTTACCATTAAAAAAAATCTTTGGCATCTGTATTTTAAAGTTTTTTCCAGCATATTTCATTAGGCAATATAATTGATATCAATCTGAACAACTGAAATCTGCTTTAGAGTGCAAAGTGCTAGTTGTCTTAATTCATGTGATATTGTCATATGACCACCTTTATCAGACAAAAACACACAAGATACACTGCTCTAAAAAAAATTTAACGCCCTTTAGGTTTCAATGTGTGTGTATGGAAAATGTCAGCATAAATCCTTAACATTTCTTGGCTCAAATACTAGCAGCTTTGGTGAACTTTAAAGCGAATAGAGTCCTTGCAATTTAAAGGGTTAGTTCACTCCAAAATGAAAATTCTGTCAGTATTTACTCCCCCTCATGTTGTTCCAACCCCGTGAGACTTTCGTTCATCTTCAAAAGACAAAATAAGATATTTTTGATTAAATCTGAGAGCTGGATCACTCCTCCATTCTAAGGGATTGAAACTTGCCGGCCACGAAAAGTTATTAAAGACATTGTTAAAAATAGTCAAAATGACTACAGTTGCTCAATCTTAAGTTTATCAAGTGACAAGAATACTTTTTGTGTGCAGACAAAAAAAAAAAAAAAACGACTTTATTCAACAATTAATTTCTTTCTCTGTGGGCTTCGTGGTGATATTGCGCAGCGCTTCTAGGTTGCACATCACACATAGGCTCACTACTGGCCGACGGTGGTTATGTGTGTGATGTGTGTGACATACAACACAGAAGCACTGCGCAGTTTCACTATGTGAACTAGCTCGAGGCCCACATAGAAGTAAATTAATTGTTAAAGTCGTTATTTTTGTTAAGTGATTTTAGTAGCCTAGACAACAGACCAGTTAGAACATACTGTAAGATGCTTAAATAGCGATATAGTGTCTTTAATGTACTGCATTAATTAATGTTATTTAATTATATTTCTTTCCATTGTCTTATCAAAGCAAAAATCATAAGGATTTATGCAGATGCTAAAAACCCATAACTTATGTTTCCAAACTATTGGAGGGCACTGTATATCTTAAACATTTCATCCTGACAGCTTATGGGATAGTTTACCCAAAAATAAAATTTTTTTACTCAAGTTGTTGTGTGAAACCTGTGTGAATTTTCTTCTTCTGATGAACACAAAAGGAGATATTTTGAATAATGTCTGTAACCAAACAGTTTATGGACCATATTGACTTGGTCCCCCTGTGTGTGGAGTAAAATGCTCACTTTGCCACCTCTTTTATATACTTATATTATTTTTAAACAAACAAACCACTTTTATGATTTATTTTCACGCAAAATATGTTGCTCCGTCAATGTTCAATTAAAAACATAAATATTTTTTTCTGCATTTATCGTAGTAGTGAAAAGCACCTTTTTTTTCTTAGCCTTTTGCCCTGTTGTACCCTATTTGAACTAAATAAAACTACATAGTAAATCTTTGGCATTTTGGTATTCTTTTTAAACATGTACAAAGGACATTGATCTGTTCTCTTACACACATACAGTATAGCAGCAACAGCCACATATAGACTACACACAAACACACGTCTGACAGGCCTTGCATGTTTGGTCTGCCCATTTGTTTGCACGCCAAAGTGTTTGTTTGATATTGACAGCACTATGCTGACTATCATACTTGGCAGCAGTTACCAGGATTGTGTTTCACAGTCCAACGTGTGCTTGTGTCTCTGAGTCTGCAAGTAGACAGATAGGATTTTGCATTCTTCCATGTGGAATTGCAAATGTTTGCAATTTCCCCCCACATAATTTACTCATACCTCTCTACAGGCGTGTGCAGTGACTTCAGTAAAATCATAGAGGGAATGGATGGGTGCTAATTTCATTTCAAAGGTGCTGGTTGATGGCCATTGACACCCTGATAAGGCAAACACTATTCTAGCCTGTGAGCTGAGCTGCAGTCATGGTTATTTAAAACTGTAAAGTGGAACTTGATGACAGGACTAGTCTGGGCTCCGTAAAATACAATACTTGCTTACACCGTTTGCACACTAATGCGTCTGCTATTGAAACTCTTGCTGACAGAGCTAGCACGCTAACCTCTGCAGTGCCAACATGCTGTGACCAAAACTTGTCCAACAAGTTATTATTTAAAGGAAAAATAACGGGAATTCACAGATATAGGAGGTAATAATTGATCATTTTCTTTGCAGATTTCTCTTAATTGTCCTTATTGGATGGTGTCAGGCAGCTGGCCAGTGCTTGCGGTCAGGGAATTTATTAGTTTATTTGCCTAATAAACTCCACCACAGCCATCTTGTTGTAGCAGCTGTCCTGTCAGGGGATGGTGAGCTATCGAGAGGCTGCAGGTGCCCCCCACCAACACCCCAAAGACTCTTTTTGTCCCTGCTGAAGGGTTGGAGGATCTGACAAAAACAAAAACTGTTGGATGAAATGCTGCTTTGAAACTTTATTTTGTATAGAGCGCTTTAAATGCTTTATGAAAATAAAGGTGACTTGACGCTAAAAATGTAATTCATACATATAATGACTTAAATACACTTCTTCTAAGGAAGTGGTTCTCAACTTTTTTTTCTCCTATTGTTTACAAGAATATAAATCACTTTTTTACTTATTTGTGATTTATTTGTTTACTCACAATTTCTACCTGATAAATATTTTAGAGCTTGACAGAACTAGAAAAATGGTTAGTCATTATAAAAAATGGCCATTACAATATTTTATTTATTTACTTGACGTTATACTGTAACCCCGGCCCCTACCCTCTTGATGGAGGCCAAAGCAAGCAGGAGAACTGTTTTTTAAAGACAGGACTTTTCGTGGCTTACTGCACCTGACGATCAGGTCGTGCTTTTCCACAGATCTCTTATGCACTGTAGAATTGATATGCGTCAATAGAGGCAATATAAACTTTGAGGGTGGAGGAAGACAGCCCTCGCTCCAACCCATCTTGCAGGAAAGAAAGCATGGAGCCGATCGCACACCTGAGAATAACACCACTCAACTCGTAGAGGGTGCTCTTGCAGAAGTGATGGTGTCTAGAACTAGATCACCCAGAACCTCCGCGTCCCATCCAGGGACCAGACATGGAGTTTCCAGAGTTCTGGACGTGGGTGCCATATTGCCCCGTCCCTGAGAGAGAAGGTCCACCCTGAGAGGAATGGGCCAGGGAGGGGCTGTTGAGAGGAGCATAAGTTCGGGGAACCAGCCCCAGGTTGGCCAATAAGGGGCAACTAGCAAGATCTGCTCCTCTTCCTCCCTGACTTTGCACAGTGTCTTTGCAAGAAGGCTCACTTGGGGAAAGCGCATACTTGCGAAGGCTCCAGGGCCAGCTGTGTGCCAGTGCATCCGTCCCGAGGGTCCCCTCGGTCAGGGAGTAAAACATCAATGGGACGAGTCCGGAGAGGCCCTGAAGTTGTCCCAGATCAGCTGGACCGCCTAGGGATAGAGTCTAAACTCTCCCTGGGTCACAGGCTGTTGTGAGTCCTCATCGGCGGCACGATTGAGCAGGCCGAGAATATAAGTAATAAGAAGCGACCTCAGATGCTTCTGACTCCATAGGAGGAGGAGGTGGCGAACGAGTTGCGACATATGACAAGAGCGTAGACCACCTTGACGGCTGATGTACGCAACAGTCGCAGTGTTGTCCGTACGGACCAGTACATGCATGCCAGCAGCGTTTTGAGCCGTCTCAAAGCGAGGTGACCAGATTTTACCTTCTTAAGACAAGGCAAAGATAGTTCAGGTTGGCATGTGCGTGACTTTCCAAAAACATATTTATGAATTTGGAATTTAAGAAAGGTACGTTTATTTTAAACTACATTTTTCCTCCTTTTCCTTTCTTTATACTGGACACTCTTATATGACCCAAATCTCTACATAAAAGCACAGAATTTGTATTATCGGCATAAATTCCAGTTATTTGTGTTTTTGGCCTAAAGATCTTAAGCAAGTCTGTTCTGGATCTCTCTAAACGTTTTTGACAAGTACATGCCAACTAGTGTGCTAAACTGTATGTTTTAATGATCAAAATTAGCTTAGAAGTCATATAATGCAAGTTGCTGCTAATTTATCTTAACTCTGACAGACAAGACAACATAAGCAAAACTATCTTGAGAATGTTTAGAGAATAACCATGAGATAAAAATGCAAATACCCATGTGGAAAATTCACATGCTGGGTAGTGACAACCACACAAATATGCAGAATAAGTATACAGATCGTCTGATAAACAGAAGTATCAGAAGTAACCATCAGATAAAAAGAAAATCCTGTTGATGGAAACAGTATAGAAGAGAAATCTTTAGGGGCATGTGAGGTTTTATGTTTTGTATGTATGTGCAATTCTGAGTGCAACAGAGTGTGTGTCAGAGCAATACAAAGACAAGGGAAACACTTGACAAAGGGGAAGAGATGAAGAAGAAGTGCATTTACATTTGAATGTATAGTTCCTACTATTTGCATGATTCTGTAACCTGAGATAATGCAGCACAAGTTGTTCGATCAGTGGTTTCGCTTTCTAGCCAAACGGTGTTTCACAGCCTGAACTGAACCAGAACCAGCTGAGAGGCCCAAGAAGACCAAACAGCGGTGCGTTTGTCTCAACATGAAACTTCCCTCACGTGTAGAGATCCAAAGACAAAGCTCTGTTCCTCACCGAGTCACAGCATTATTTCCTCTTTTTTTGGTCACTGGTTGGAACAGAAAAGGGAAGTGGCTCTAATGGCCAATCCCAACTGTTTGACCAGTGTCTTTTTTCGATATGTTTTGAGGTTGCTCCATCTGTCTACACAGTATTTTAAAGACATAATTCCAAACGATATAACTCACAGTACTCACATCAACCCTATACCTTTACCTTTTGGTTGGTTAATTTCAGCCAAGGAGCTCTAAATTGGTTATGGTAAGTGTGAACAAGTCCCAGGATATCCATCCCAGCTAGCTGGTGGAACTAACATTAGCATGTGCAGGCCAAAGCATCTTTTACTCTTCTGCAGCTATGAAGTCGGCAGGATGAAGTGAAGGAGGCTTTGGAAGCATTTATGCTGGGATTTGCTTGAGAGATGGCCTTTAAGGTATTACACTTGTCTCATTCTCCTTATATCTTATGTTCACTACTTAGGGCAAATCTGTTTAAATTGTTAGACATGCTCTACATGCTTAGAATTTAAATTCATGAACATGTCTATTCAAGAATAATGACTTAAAATAAAAACTGCTCTCACATTGTAAATAATTCTAACACAAATCCATTTTTTGTTTTGTTGATTAGGTGGCGCTGAAGTTCGCTGAAATAACGTGGGTATAGATTGGATTTGGACCTTGTGAGTACTGTTTCTCTCAGCCAATTTTTCAATGGACAAACTGCTATTGTCAGTAGTTTACTGTTCTACATCTTTTCTCCATGTAAGATCATAAGAATTGTCTTTCTTCTAGGAGAGTAATCCTGAACCCGTTCCACAGGAGATCGGTCTGCTAATTCTTGTCAACAAAGGGTTCCCCACATCATCCAGCTTCTGGCAAAATCCTGACCGATGCGGGATACACATCCTTTGCTGGTATGTATTATTCCTTAGAGCTGTAATGTGAGTCTCAAACTTAAATGACGGGTCAGAAGCCGTTCGACTTCAATGAGTCAAGCATCATGTAATGGGATCCACCATTGTGAATTAATATCATTAAGTAATTTCTTGCATGCTAATGAATACTTAGTCAAAATTTTGCTTTACTATCCAGGCAGACCCAACCTGTATATGCCCTCTGGAAAAAGGATGACTTGTCACAAGGTTAGAACTTCTCAACGGGACCTAGGTTGAGACATCCTTCAGTGATGCACTCGGAAGTTGAACCGCTGCAACCTAAGAGTCCACCGGATCAATTGAGAGGAGGTTTTTGGGACTATTGAAGGCCCATGTTAGAGCAGCATGGTCACATCTTCATGTGTGTTTCAAAAATGAACAAAAGTTTTATGGGCTTGTTACACTAGAAACCTCACGCCATGACTTGTTAGCGCCATCTGGTGCTCACATGAGGCATTTTATCAGTTTATTTTGTAGCCCTTGTCTTGTCTTTACTGTAGCTACACAGAGACTATAAACAAAGTCTAAATGCAGGAAGGATAATAGAAACCTCTTTTCAAAAGAAGATATTTTGAAAACTGTTTTGGTTACTCTTGACTTGTTTGGACAAAAAAAGACATATCAAAATATCTTATCTTATATTTCACAAAAGAAACAAAGTCATAGGTTTGGAACCACATTAGAGTGAGTAAATGATGACAGAATGTTATCTACCTGATCTGACCCATAATTGTATTGCTGTAAGATAATGAATCCATCCAGGTTGATGGAATACCATTTAATAATATTTTCTTAGATAATCAACCTTTTAGGTTACCTGCCAGTGTTTTTGTAGTTTACTGTATTTGATAAATTCAGGACCTTGCTCTGAGAATTAGTAAATAAATTGTTACAAATCGACACTTTGTGTTTTGGACTTAGTTGAACGGTGATTAGACGGACTTGACGAGGTTAGTATTATAAAGAAAGTAGGCCTAGATGTTGTCTGTGTGTAAGTGAAATTCAGGGAAATAAATCAATGGAGGTTTTATCACTTAATCCTTTAATGAATCCATTTCATTAATTTTCTGTAAATAACAATATGCTGTGAAATAAAAATCTAGTTCAGTTATGAAACTCGAGATGGCACACAGGCTGATACATCCTTTACATTCAAAAAGCAAGCGATCACATAATGACTGCATGGATCAAGCTGATTGGCCTCTGCTGATCCTGTAGCCAAGGAAACTTGCTCAACATTTAAATTGTCTGGTTCCTTGTTTGCTATCAACCACCAATCCTGCAGCGGTGCTATCAGAGTTCCTCTGAAATCCTCCACTTCCCCAGTTCCACTTGCCTAGATATGCTAAGGGATTTATGCAGCATCAGTATATACATGGTTACAGCATGTTTTGGGGAAACTTTTATATCACTGAATTCCAAAGCATAATATCATACTTTTTACTCAACTATTAAAAACAATTTAAGAGATTTCTTTCCGGTACAAATATGAATGATTATTGATGTGTGCAAGATGATTGTTAGACCAGGGAGGAACTTCAATCTGATTTGATTAGAAACACAGCAAATCCCTCTCTGACCTTACAGCCCCTTCTCCCACCCTGCTCTGCTGCTGCCCTACAAACCCACTTCTTAATCCCAAAGCCTTTTTATATCACAGAATCATGGACAGACCGCCTCTTCCAACATAAATCCGGCTTTTCCACCTTCCTTGTACAAACGACCCCCACAAACAAATCTGATTGTATCCAGTTGGATTGATTGTATGAACTGGTGCTCTCTGGGCAAACCTGCTGGGAAGGGAGGTCCCAGAAATGCAGACTTGTAAAGGGCATAATATTAGATTTATGCATTGAGGTAACTGGGCTATTATATAATTTAACTTTAAGCTATGTTTTGACAACAAAATTAATGACAGACATATAGCTGCTGTCTCTTTAAGAGCTGTTTGTGTTCATTAGTGGCATGCATGCGTTTTATGCTTATTAAAGACAAAACTGACTATGTTTAGAGTGCACTCGAAGACCGAAATTGACACAATTTTGCGTGTTAAAGCAATACAATCTGCGAAAAATAACTTTTGTTACTGGCCAGCTGTTTTTGAGCCGGATTTTCTATGAATGTCATAGACTAGACCTCACCTTGGGGTTCTAAGCATGCGTCAAAACCGCCGCCATCTTGGAACAGGGGTCTTGTCATAGGAAGTAGCTATGTAACGCCGCTATCTCTGCCTTTACTTCGAATTCATTGATGGTGGCGGACTTTTGTGCAGCGTATGATGTTCACTGATGAAATCTGAACTAGGAAGAATGTTTTTTTTAAAAAAAAAAATTCTTTCTGGAATCAATGATAAATACATGTCTGACCGTTGGAACAAACCAAAAAAAACAAGAAAAATCGCATTCATGATGATTTATGGTGATTTTATTTCCGTTAGACTTGTGTCTACTACATTGACGCTGATGCATTAAAGTGGAGGGGCTCCCCTGTTTCAAGATGGCGGCTCTATTGACGTATTCGTTCCAATGAACTGCCGTAGCCAAGGTGAGGTCTAGTGTATATGTCTATGTATGAATGTGAGCATAGAAAATCATTTCAGAGTGCGTGAGCAGGGGCGTAGCACCAAATTCTGGGCCCTGTACACTCTCAATGTCAGTGGGCCCCCTACACATGGCATTGTATGATGCGGGTTAGCAAAATGAAAATTCAATTTTGAATGAAATGTATTTTTTTAATTATTTGAATATAAACAAGTATAAACAGTGTTTAAATCTATAATAAAATCAGATTATAGTAATGACTGGTTCTTTCATTCACCACCTGAATTGATGCATTTGGCCTACTTGTGCTCAAATACCTTTAAACCTTAGGCTACATCGGTTTTGTGTACTAACATTTTGATCCATGATACTGATGCAAGTTTTAAATGAAAAACATTTATTTTTGAATAGGAGAACACAAGAACACGAGACAACTGTACCCTCAGAAACCAGGTCAAACTGATGCTACCAAATTTCTCAGTTGGTCGCACCAGCATTTGATTTCGTCGCGTTTTTTTGTTTGTTTTTGTTTTGCTATATGCCATGGGATTAATCAATGCATGCCGATGAATAGTGGTTTTAATGGACCAAAGCTAGCAAAGGCTTAGCATAAATACCTGTAATATATTAATTATCATAGCCAAATTTCAGGATTTTCATGGATTTTGGACAGTAATTTTAATCTGTATTTTAAGAATTTTGCATTTGAATTACATTCAATCTATCTATTTAAATTTGAATCATCTTCTGTGTCTGTCATTTTTCTATTAGCATCATATTTCTATCTTTTAAAAAATCATTAAACATTCAAATGTATGCATTACATTTTAAAAGATTAGAGTATTACAACAAGCTAAAACAGATTTTTCGTTATCAATCTCACACTCCTTACCTCCTGCATTTTGTAATAATTTGTTTCCTGAGACATTTTGATTTTTATATTTTTATTCATGAATTCGTAATAATTGGCGCATTCCACCATCAGTGTGCAATGCGTGCGTGACGTCTATGTGTCTGGCGGAAGAACACTGTTGCCGGAGCTACTTCTCTCCATTAATGTCTATGGTGAGTCACGCAGTCACTGGGCAACTTCGCATCCAAGTCAACCCCGAGAATCCGGGATAAAAAAAATAGTCCGAATATAAACACTTAGGCGTACTGTAGTGATTAAGGATAAGTCAAAAACACGGTTTGGAAAATGGATTCATGATGTAGCCTACTCGTTCGTTTTGAACATAAGTTACGGACTGCAGTCTGCAGCAGCTGATACATTACAACGGTCGGTGTTCTTTTGCTCATATGCAACGCGACCATATACAATTTTAACTCGCACAATCACATTCTCAAAAAATCGTCGCATATGAGACCAATTTGGTCGCAGTCTGGAACCCTGCATTAGCAGCAGCTGTCTGGAGTTGACTACGTTAACTTTAATTGGATGTAACTTAGGTGCATAACAAGCAAACTCACCCTTTTCCCAAAGTTCACCCTTTTGGGAAGAAAGCATGCCATCAGCTGCTTCCCCGCATTCTGCCTCCTATCTTTTCTTTCCTCTCTTTCTTTTTTTGAAAGCCCGATTTGGGCTTTTTGCACAGCATGATCAGATCAGGCTCCCATTACAGGCTCTAGACTCACTGCGTTATTACTTGTTTGCCGCCCGCTGCGTCTATGGGCGGTCGACGCGTTGCGGACTAAACCATTTGGAAGGGGGTCCAGAGTGTCTGGCACTGAGTTCATTTTGGTCAATATTTTTTTAAATGATTATTAATGACATCAATTGGAGGGCCCAATTAATTCTAATTAGGTTAAAAAAAAATTGATGGGATTTCAAAGGGCCCTCTCCCTAGACGGGGCCCTGGGTAGTCAGGTCCACTTCCCCCCCCCCCCCCCACTACCACGCCCATGTGCGTGAGCACTGATTTGTTTAAAATTGCTTGAATTTAATATATCCCGCATAATGGGAGAGACCTGCGGAAATGATTTCCCAATTTGTTATATATTTTTTGATATTATTCCTCTTGAAAGTTCTGATCGATATGTCTTAATAAAGAGTTCGATCGTTTTTAAATTTTTTTTATAAAAATTAAAAATTTATATTTAAGCTTTAAACGACAAAGCTTTAAATCAAGTCTTCGACAAACTTAACTGGATACATGATAAACATCCAAACAGTTGCTATGTGCCTCTACAAAAGGTTGTCAGGGACAACGTCTGTGCGTCACTAATAGCGTCACTGGTATGCGTCACGTAAAAGAATCGTATTGATCGGTTCTTTAACGTAGTGCTCGAAAGAACCGTTTCGCAGATATGATTCGCACTTCCCATCATTATGACGAGTCCAAAACTTTTTTCCCTGTTCTCATCTTGCCCCCTCCCTGACTGCGCACCCGGACACTAAAGTCGAGGCTGTCCACTGTCTACCCAAGCCATAGGAGTTCACTCTCCCTCTACATCAAATATATAAAGAGAGTTAATGTATTATTTCAACCAGATTGTCACAACTTTCCACATTTCAATGATTTTGGTTAAATGAAAGTACGCGCGCTCCCGCCAAAATGCAGCATCAGCACCACTATGTCGCGCGCGCGCGCCTCTAGCGAACGAGTCTATCGCCATCCCGGCCGAGAGAGTTAAAGTTGGCCGAAAGGACGGCTAAACGATGCAGTACTGTCCGGTGACGAGGAGAGGATAACATTTGATTTACTCATCTAAAAGCGACTCCGTCTCAGATGATGGATATCAAAATTCTTGCCTCAAGCCTTTTACTCTTTCTCGCCTTTCAACATTGCTCGTCACGTAAGTGAATCTGCAGATGCAATGCAAATGTTTCTTATTTGCCATATTGGTGACTGTTATTCTTCATCAGAACAGCAAAGCTATGACATAGCCTAATTATTTTAATCTCAAAATTGCGATTATTCATAAGGTTGGATTGTTTTAAATCAGAATTTGTTTAATGTTTTTGTTAATCTATTTTTAGAGGATCCACTCCAGTCTAGAGGGTTTGGGCTGAAAGTAAAGCGCTAATATAGTCTTGATTCTGCACTCGCCTCTGTGCCTGTGTGTCTACGGGCTCTTTCTGCATTGCAGTGCCTCCGCGCGCTCACTTGAGCAAGTTTCTGCATGGAAAGGTGCGTCTTGCGCAGGGGACACGCGGGAAGGACACACTCTCCTGCAGTTAAACAGAGACTGCTGAAAGCATCTATTTGCAGATTTAGCCGTGTCTTTCGTGTGAAAAGTTGAGATTGTCGGTGTATTTGAAATGGCGTGGTGAAAAATTCCTATTCCATGAAGTTGCTTGTGGGAACAGCCCTATGCGGAGACAGAGGGCGGGCTCATTAACTCACCGAACTCCCAAATTCACATGACGTAGAACACCGCATGCGAATCCTGACGTTACCTGACTGTATTACAATCTTCAAAATATCAAAATGATATAAAATCGTAACATGCGAAATCGATATTCTTATTACTAATACATGATGTACAAAACACTGCTCAATAAGGTGCTGGGAGAAAGCTTAATCTACTTAATCTAAAATAATCTGATTGTGTGCCATGATTTAAAAATTATTTTGTTCTGACAAAAAAAATATCAATTAGTTTTATCAATTAGTAAGGGAAAGCATATAATCTCTCACAAATATTATGTGCACACGTATTGAAATTGCACTGTTGTGAAGTCTCTTTTTGAAGTGAGTGGGTCTCAAATCCAAATAATGAATAAATTATGAATACTGTCACACATATTAAATATCAAAAATGTAAATACTTATCAAACACGGAACAACATATTTAGGTCCTGTCTGGATATCTTATGAATAAGTGTGAGCTCTATTACTAAATAGTATTAAGTGATTGTTTGTCAATGCAATGTAGCCTAATGTTGAAACTATAATAGCACATAAAATCTTGAAACAATGAGGTTTTGTGGAATCCCAAAAGAGTTTTAGGCTCCACTTCACTGCAAATTCTTTGCCAACAATGAGAGCTGATGATGTAGTGTGTAAAGAAGATAATCCAGTTCTCAAGAGAAATGAGACAGCATGAACACAACACTCTCGCTTTAAGAATTCATTTATAAATCTTTGGGAAGGAGCGGAAACCATCCAAACTAAAAATGGGTGCTCTGATGATACAGAAAAACTGTTTGAAAATGTCATTTTAGTGAGATTTATGATGCCATGTGTGTTACAAATTAGATCCTGTTGAGGAAGGTGTGAAAGATTAAGGGAAGATGCTTGTGCCCTGCTGTGGCGTCTTGGATTGGCTCTGTATTTTGAAGTCCATTTTGAGCTTATCTTTTGTTTCATTCAAAGACAGCCACCTACTGTGGCTGCAGTCCTGTTCTAAATAATTTATACCAACGTGACTCTCTATTCTGCATACGTCCATGCTAAAAATTCTAACCACAGCCTCTTCCCCTAGAATCCTAGATAAAATCCTATCAAAAGAAGCTGATCCAAACTAGCCGTCTAGACCCAAGTGCACCGCTGCTTTCTCCTATGAAAGATAGCATACATGATATGCACTCAATTCTCCTTGAGCAGAAGTGCTGTGTCAGCCTGCTGAGACTGGGGGAGTGCCTGCGTTGGTAATTCAACACACGTGTTAGAGAGAGAGAGAGAAAGAGAGAGAGAGTGAGAGAGAGAGTGAGAGAGAGAGTGTGTTCAAGGTGCTCCTTCATGTGTCACTGTTCTCCCTTATCCGTGAGTGGAAATCAGCCAAGGACATTGAAGGCATTGGGCAAAAAGAAAGTGAAAAAGTCACAGGGGAATGAAACTGCATAGTTTAAAATTGCAACTATTGGTACCAGAAATGCAGACTTGTGAATTGTAAAGGGCATAATATCAGATGTATGCTTTGGTATTAGAGGTAACTGGGCTGAACTATTATATAACTATTATAGGCTATTTAATAAAATATATATACTTATATGTCTTTGGGGGGTTGCAACTAATTTCAACTTTGTGTGTGCAGTTTGAGTGAGATGTAGCAAGAGAGGGATTGCTAAAAGCTAAATTCTTATTTAGGTTATAGGAAAGTGAGAATTTAATTTTGAACCCTTTGTTCTGTTTCAAAACCTAGTCAGTTGCCCATATGGGCAACTCATTTTAAAGGCATTATGTTAATATCCTAAACGGAGACTGTTCCAAAAGGTAGCCATCTTAAATTGTGATGCCTCTTTATAAGATTGGGTTGGGTGCACTATTTACTCAATCATAAACATTTTCTAAGGTTATTTTGCTATCCAGCATCGGAGTCTGATAGCCCATCCCTTTCATTACAAAAGGAAATTTGCAACAGTTAAGTGCATGAATGCACAGCATTCCACTCTTTTTTTTTTTTCGCTTAACCCAAAGCCAAATGTATCATTGATACAAAAATTGCATCAAATATGATACATTAGACATTTAAGGGATCTTTATTTCTACATCTCTCAATGCAATAACTGTTGCATTGCATTGTTTGCACCCTACAATAAAAAATGCAGAGCTTTTAATCAAAATTAAACATTTAAATATTATCTTATAGAGCAATCGATCGCACAGTTCGATGCTACCTGAATTTCATCTTACTTTTTGGCTATACAAATATCATCAACTGCACCAAATTGGGCATTTTTGTGTGTGAGCTCCATGTTGTCCTATGTCCAATAGGTTAATATTTGAGTTATAAAATCCTGATGTAAGTTATTTTTTATTTTTTTTACATTTTTCTCAGAATTGCATGATATAAACGTGCAATTGTGAGTTATAAAGTCAGAATTGCAATATATATATATATATAAACTTTCATTTGTGAGAAAAAAAGTCAGAATCGTGAGATATAATGTCGCAATTATTATTCTTTTTATTGTGGGGTGGAAATAGACTTCCATAGAATTTATTGTGTCCTACAAGGAGAAGACTGCAGAATGCAAAACATGAATATAACATAACATCAAGATAATAAACAAAGCAAGATTTGATAAATAGTTTAGTGTTCACACAATATTTATGTATGCGGTGTTTTTATGCTTATTAAAGATTGCGCTGTTAGCTTTGGTACATGCTAATCTAACACGTTTGAAATCATCTGTGAGACGAGTCTCCTGTACCTGAGTAGAGAATTCAGAATCTGTCACTTATTAGTTTATGTTAGCCATGCCTTTGTGTGCTGTGGAAAGCAAGGAATCTCACTGGTAGGTTTTGGAGCAGGACTTTTGTATTTAGATGGACAGGTTTCGCATGGGCGTGTTTGTAAGTCTGTGCATTCTTTTTCATGAGGCTTTCATTGCTTATTCCCAGTCTCCCCTGCAGCTCTTCTGCACTGAGTGCTGTAATAACTGTAATGCTTCTCCTGCAGGGCAGGAACTCCTCTCTGTTCTGCACAGCTGCTAGGAGAACAGAACAGCACAGGGTGAAAATCATTGATCTTGGAGCTGGTGAAGAGGGACCGACAATCTCAGCAGCTTATATTTTACAAAGATAGATGAGGCTGGGTCACATTCAATCGATTCATTTATCTACCTAATGTGAATCAGAATATTGCACTGCAGCTGTTGCTCAGGGGATAATGTGGATTTCTCTTAGACGAGGGTTGTCAACTCTTTTCAATCCAAGGACCACTTTTGGACCACTTTTAATTAGCAAATCCATTCAATCCAATCCATCCAATAATATACAGATTACTAAAGACACACACACCTACTTCAGTTCAACTGCTTGTTAATGCAAATATCTAATCACCCAATCACATAGCAGTAACTCAATTCATCACATGGTCAAGGTGATTTACTGGGATTTTCATGCATAACCTCATAATCTCTAGGGTTTACAGAAAATGGTCTGAAAAAGAGAAAATATCCAGTGAGGGGCAAGTTTTGTGGGCGAAAATGCCTTGTTGATGCCAGAGGTCATGGCAGAATGGCCATACTGGTTCAAGCCAATAGAAAGGCAACAGTAACTCTAATAACCACTTACAACCGAGGATACAATGATAGGGTCAGAATTTGGCGTAAACAACAGGAATACATCCATCCCGCCTTATATCAATGGTTCAGGCAGCTGGTGGTGGACACACACACACACACACACACACACACATCAACCTCTCCTTTGACCAGCCGAGGTCAATTTCTGTCAATGTCTTTCACTGAGTCAAATCTCAGTGAACAGATGTGCAGTTTCTCCCATGGAATCAACTGTTAAAGGAATAGTCACAGGACATTTCCACTGGTGAGTGGGATTTCACCAAGTAGAACATGTTCAAACATCATTGTTGATCCTGCAACAACATTCCAATTAACCAATCAGATTTGAGCAATAGGCTTACAGTTAATCAATTTAAGGCTTAAATCAAGGATTAGAGGCTTCTACATTAATGTTATTCATCCATCATTTCCCTCTGATTTTAGGGATAATTCACAGGTTGAATTAGGTTTATGGGTAAGGACTATGTATTTGGACAGAAGTGTTGATCCAGGAACATGTCTTCACGACAAAAAAATCACAACGACCTGTTTCCACCACAAACCATTTCTTTCAGAAGACTTTTATAGTGGAGTTCATGGCTTGATGAATCCAGCTATAGTCAAAAGGCTGAAAGATGATTGAGCAGAGGACTGTGAATCAAATGGGAATTGAAATCCCTTGAGAATGAACTAGATGACTCATGCAATATTCTGTTACATTCCTTGCTTTTTCCTTCTCCATCTCTCTATCTCTCTCTCTCCATCAAATGGTTTCCCCCCCTCTGTTCCCTCACTGGCATTTGCAGTGGTCAGAATACTAATAACCTCTGCTGTGTCTGACCCTGCAGTCTCTTTGAGGCGGCTACACGACATGTCAATACGTCATTGAGAAATACAGTTGAGAACATAACAGTGGACTTCTGTTCATTGTTTTTAAAGAAAGCAAATTATAAATACTACGTAATATTATAAGATTATATGGCTTTATTTAGTTTATTTACAGTACGAACCGTCCTTTTGAAGGCACTTCAATCTTCATAACCATCTTCAATAAGGCACATTCAATAGCCTACTCCTGAAATGAACCGGCTGTGTGAAAGTGTGTCGTCTGTAGAGGTGAGGTGGATGGGCTGATGTGAGATGTGATGCCATTTGGGCAGATGGCTTTATTAGAGCTCTGTGAGAGGGTGAGATTGAGGTGGGTTTATCTGACTGCCATTTAGATTAGGCTGAAATGTTGCCAGGTCTAATTGAAGCAGGGATTTGTGTATCAGAGGTAGCGATGCAATGACATGGCAAGACTTGCTAAATGGGCCTGAATTATATTGTGTTCCATATCCACTACGGCATACATTTTGTACAGTATATAATACTCATTTCACACATGATACGGCCTGTATGCTCATTGTGCAAATGAGACTCTAACAACATTAACCCACAAAATGTGCCCGTAGAGCCTGGTTTTGTTTGGTAATGTTTGACTAAAGATCTGAAGATACTGTAATTTACTCAGATGTATATGTTTTGTTGTTGTTTATTCAGCCTAGTAATAATCTCAGCAAGAAGAGCCACAGCAGTCCTTTATGTTGACCAATGGGTGTTCCATTAAATAATATTTAGTCAGACAACTTTTGCAAAGTGCTGTACATATGGAAACAGTTACTCAGAATAAAATAACAAAATAATACATACAATAGAATTTAGAACATAAGCTATAGAGATCAGGTTTGTTTTTAGCCTGCACTTAAAATGATCTACGGATTGTGCAGATCTAACATGAAGTGGTATAGGCTATTCACATTTACACTTTGGAAAAAAAATGAATATTTGAAATCACAGGTACTTATAACTCGTGGTGGTTCAGTAAACTGGATAAACTGCATACTGTATGTATATATACTGTATGTATATATACTGTAGGCTATACAATGAGCGAGTTCATCATGAATCCATCTTCCAAACCATGTTTTTGTCTTATTCTGAATCACTACAGTATATGCCTATAAGTGTTTATATTTTGGCGGTGTCACATACAAAAGTTACATAGTGTACCTTTAAAGCACAATTGGCTTTATCTGCACTACTTCCTGAACTTCAGCCAGCTCCTGATTATTGGACAAATTGATTGATTCAGGTGTGCTTGACCTCAGTAGTCATGGCAACAACAATTAGGCACACCTGAATTAATCAAGTTTGGCCAATAATCGCAGACAGGAAACAAGGAGCTGGCTGAAGTTCAGGAAGTAGTGCAGCTGTGGATAAAGCCAATTGATCATTTTAAGAGCTGCAATTTTGTTATACATAACATTATATTATGTTATACATAATAACAGTAATTAAAAATATTTAATGTACATATTTTTTTCCCATGACAGTTGTATTGTGTTATCCTATTTTCAACAAACTGCTAAATAAATCTAGTGTCAAAAAAAATGAAAATGTCATTAAAGATTGTCTATAATTCTCTTTTCTTTCTCTCTTTTCAGGGCCATGCTTAGATCCGCTGATTTCTCCTCTTTATGCATCCTCTTTCCATGCTTCTTCCAGATATAACTTTTTTTACTCTGCACACTTTGCCAAACTGTATGGTAAGTGACCAAGATCTATGGGTTGCACTTTGCATTTTGAATAGGTCTGGCTGCATGAGAATACTGATGAGAAACAATATTAACTTCCTTTGATTTAGCCAAATACATTTGTATATTCCTATACATTCCTACACCCTTTTGAAGCAGAAAAAAGTCTTGAGTTTTTTTGTGAATAAAAGTGGATGTGACCACTGAGTCACAAATAAAAAAATATGAGAAACAATATGTAAAAGTCACAAGATTACTTGGTTCCATTGAAACGCAATTCCATTCCATTGTTTCATTGAAATGCTGCACTTCTGTAAAGTTTTATATATATATATATATATATATATATATATATATATATATTTCGTATTGTGCATATTGTAGTGTTAAATTATCAAATGATTTATTATATTTTATATCCATTAGAAGAGTCTGGAACAGAACTGTGGTAGAGAAACAATCACATCGAACCAAATCTTTATTTTATTTATTTATTGATTTATTTATTTTTATACGATTTCAGGTTATTACACCTTGGTGGAGAAACCATACATTTTTTTACTTTATTTGAAGAATAAGCAAACAAACAAACAAATAAATAACCACAGTAGGCAAGGCATGTTCTTTAAAAGAAAAAAAAAACAATCTTTCTGAAATGTCTCTTAATTTAAAAATTGTAATAATAATGTAGATTATTTGGATTTGGATGACAATATCTGTCATTTTACATATGGCCAAAATATGCTGGCTAGCCCATCTGAAGCACTGTCTACATGCATTTTCTCAGCTGATTTTTAAATGTGTGTGTGTTGATGTAGGGAGCAGTGGCTGGTCTCCGTCCCCTCGGGACAGGCAGCCATGGATGCAGATTGACCTAGGGAGGAAATATCGTATCATGGCCATTGCTACTCAGGGTACCTTCAACTCTTATGACTGGATCACCAAATACATGCTGCTGTACGGGGATCGATTCGATGCGTGGACTCCATATGTCATGACAGGAGGCAATATGGTAAAAATGATCTATGTTTCACTAGTGTTTGGAAAGCCCACTGAAAAGTATAATCTGTTTTGATCAAGTCATGATGTTTTAAAGCAGAGGTTCAGGACAGGCATCTTTTTTTATCATATTTGACCTTGAACATGACTCATTCAATCAGAATTTAGAGGTCATCCTTTTATAAATACATTGTTGATGTATGATTAGTTGTAGGTGTGAGAAGTTGTCGATTTGTTAAATGGTGTGTAACATTCATGGAGCTTTTGATATCAGATTTTTGTGTCTCTCAGACGTTGCCTGGCAACTGGAATTACTACCAGGTGAAGAGGAACGTATTTCATTATGCGATCACTGCCAAACATCTGCGCATCTATCCCATGGGCTGGAATACTGAGAACGGAGGCAAAATCGGCCTTCGAGTAGAGCTCTACGGCTGTCCTTACGGTAAACGGCACATGTCTGGACTGAGGCACTGCCAACAGTTTGTGTTTTATCAGCAGCCAAGAACTTTAGCATATCATGATACGGAAAATCTCCTCAGTGCCTTGTAATGTTAACTGGCCCTTTGAGTTGCACTGCAGAAAATCTGTTTCTAATCAGAATTTTGATTTCCAGTAAATATCTCAACCCCCTAAATGGCATGCATAAGTTGTTTTCAGAGAAAGATACAAAATGAGGTTTATGGTTTTCCCCTCTAAATTAAGTGAAAATCATGTAAAATTAAAATTAAAATTATGCTTTGTATCTTGTTACAAGGATTTTTTTTAATATTGACAGTGAAAATCAAAAGAAAAATACTGAGTATAAAATGTATTTTTCCAGTTTGCCATGCAGTGTATCATTCAAATGTTAAAAGTTTTTTCATTGCAAAAAATACCAATATTTTTTGCCGGTACAACACATACTGCCTGTAAATCTTATGAGTAAATTCAATAACTATGAACACTGTCATATGCTGATTTGTGCAAGCTAGAAGCAATGTGAACTCCTTGATGATCTGGGCATCAGTGTAGGCCAAGGTCATTGATTTCAAGGTCAGATTCTTCTGTTTGTGTAGCTAGAAAGAAAACAGATAGACACAGTGGCTTGTCTATGTTGTGTAGCAATAAAATCTTGTAATATAGTTTTTAACAATCATCTTCACACTCTTGACCTTTGACCCTAACAGAATCATATGTGATGCAGTTTGAGGGGGATGACATGGTGGCCTACTCCTTCCCACGGGGCAGGATGAGGACACTTCAGGACCACTACGCTTTGAATTTTAAGACCTTGGAGAAGGATGGTATTCTTCTGCACAGTGACGGTTTGCAGGGAGACTCTGTCACTCTGGAACTAAAGACTGGACGCCTCTACTTGCATATCAGCTTGGGTAATCTATCTATCTATCTATCTATCTATCTATCTATCTATCTATCTATCTATCTATCTATCTATCTATCTATCTATCTATCTATCTATCTATGTCGATCTGTCTGTCTGTCTGTCTGACCTTTTATCTATAATCATGAGAACATGTATTCATGATCTATTTAAGGGAGCAGCACAGTCCATAAGACCAATGGGATGACCACAATGATGCTGGGAAACCTACTGGACACACAGCACTGGCACTACGTCACTATCAAGCGTTACGGGCGAGAGGTCAACTTCACCCTGGATGGCCAGACTGAGACTGCTGTCCTCAACGGAGAGTTCAAGTACCTTGATCTGGACAAACAGGTGACATGTTGGATCAAACGCATGAACTATAAATGCACACTGTATCACACTTCATTGATAAATTACGCATGACACACATTTGTTCAGAACAAATGAACACAGAAAGGGCCTCTGTTAAAAGGGAAGGGTGTAATTTCTGTGCCATTAGGATCACCAAATGGAGTAAAATAATTACTGTTTTTCAAGGAGATGTCACAAACACTACTCCTGTCTGCCATTGGTCAGTCAATAAGATAGCCCCGCCCCAAACTCATGCCATTGGTAAATGTTCCTTACAATGTGATCATAACAATTATCCATCTCTCTTTAGATTTATGTTGGCGGTGTGATTGAGAAGGACACACCCCACCTGCCTGGTAAGGTTAACTTCCGTGGCTGCATGGAGAACGTCTTTATCAATGGAATCAATGTCATCTCCATGACACAATACCAGGAGCCTGAAATTCGACTAGCTCCTAAAAAGGTATGTAGAGTTTTGTAAGAGTGTAGTGTGGGGTGAAATAATAAAACATTTATAATCATGATAACGGGTCTACTCACGGCCTTCAGCATGGCGCACACATCCGCCGCGTGAGCTCTAGCGAAGTACGACGCTATGAAATCCATTGTAATGCAAAATATTTTAGATATTATTTGTATATTTCAGAAAAAGATGCATTATACCTGCCGTGACCTCCTCTGGAAGCCCATGACCTTTGCAGGACCCAACAATTACCTGCAGCTGCCCGGGTTTTTCCGGAAGAACCGTCTGGCGGTAAAATTTAAGTTCCGCTCATGGGACTACACAGGGTTACTGATGTTCACCAGGTTTGCAGATGATTTGGGCTCTCTGGAGCTAGGCCTCAGTGAAGGACAGGTTAACGTCACTCTCATGCAGCCTGGAAACAAGAGATTACGCTTTGCTGCAGGTATGGTATGATTTAGGATTGTGTCCATTATATTAGTTATAACATATTCAACTCTATTTCTGTAAGAGAGGACTGAATGGAACACCTAGAGACCAAGAGTTTAGCAGGACTAAAACTGGTGAGATTATAAACAGTAAATATTTAACTTTTTTGTGTGTTGAAGGGTACCGTCTCAATGACGGCTTCTGGCACACAGTAGACCTGACCGCCAAAGACAACTTACTAACTATCACTATAGATGAAGATGAGAGCTCACCACTGAAGATCACCAACCCCTTCACTGTTCGTACAGGAGATCGCTACTTCTTCGGCGGTAAGTTACAGATCACAGAATATGAAGAGAAGTAGTCTGTTATGTTTAAGTGCCTCGCGCAGTAGCACCTCATTGAAGTACGCGAGATCCAGGGGGCGGATTTGGATCCAGATCTAAGGGAAAAAGATGGGTAGGATTAGGAGGGGGGTTAGTGATCAGGGGGTGGAGTTGGATCCAGATCTAAGGGGTGGAGATGGGTAGGATTAGGGTTTGGGTTAGGGATCCGGGGGCAGACTTGGATCCAGATCTAAGAGGCGGAGATGAGTAGGATTAGGGGTGGGGTTAGGGATCAGGGGGCGGACTTGGATCCATATCTAAGGGGTGGAGATGGGTAGGATTAGGGTTGGGGTTAGGGATCAGGGGGCGGACTTGGATCCAGATCTAAGAGGCGGAGATGAGTAGGATTAGGGTCGGGGTTAGGGATCCGGGGGCAGACTTGGATCCAGATCTAAGAGGCGGAGATGAGTGGGATTAGGGGTGGGGTTAGGGATCAGGGGGCGGACTTGGATCCATATCTAAAGGGTGGAGATGGGTAGGATTAGGGTTGGGGTTAGGGATCCAGGGGCAGACTTGGATCCAGATCTAAGGGGTGGAGATGGGTAGGATTAGATGTGGGGTTAGGGATCAGGGGGCGGAGTTGGATCCAGTTAGGGTTAGAGTTGGATCAGATCTAAGGGGCGGAGATGGGTTGGTTTAGGTATATGTGGATGTTCTGCAGTGAGGACCATCTCACCTAATCTCACCTAATCTAATGGCATAAATGCAGCCTTAATGTTCATAATCTAGGCTAAATGAGAAAATATTTAGTGCCTTATAGTTGTATAGCACATAATTAGAGGAATATTTTTTATTTGCTGTGTTGTAGGTTGTCCCAAGACCAATAACACGGCTCGCTGTGTGACCAAGCTGTCTCGCTTCCACGGCTGCATGCAGCAGATCTTTATAGATGATGAGCCGGTGGATATAGATGTCATGCTGCAGAGGAAATGGGGCAGATACGCAGAAATTCTGCTGGGCACCTGCGGTATCACTGATAGGTGTGTGTGTGTGTGTGTGGGTGGGTGGGTGGGTGTTTGCCAACACTACAGGACTAAATGACCTCACAATGATAGTATCCAAGCAAACAGTCTTCATCAGGAAAACTGCTTAATAACCTGAAAATGATGTCTTAATGAAAATCAAAATGGAGATTAAAACATGAGCTCAGCTCTATAAAAAGAACAAAAGTCAACGTAATGTTATCACCATGATATATAAACTAACATGTGTTTGGGATACAAGTGTAGTGTTCATTTATTAACTTAAAGTCTAATGTCATAGTCTGTAATACGGACGAACAAAAAATTTGGAAAATATTTTTTTACAGCAGATTTTTGTCTTGTTTTCATTAAAAATCTTATTGTCAAAAACACTGACAACCATTTAAAGCTCATAAAGGAGAATCAAAGCCTCGCAAATGAGAAAAATTAGACATGCCCAAGAATGTAATATCTTGAGACTTGCATTATTAAAGTGTCAGCCTTCTCTTATTTTTTTCAGGTGCACTCCAAACCCATGTGAACATGAAGGCAGGTGTATACAGTCCTGGAATGACTTCTTGTGTGTGTGTAACAACACTGGCTACAAGGGGGAGGTTTGTCATAACTGTAAGTGTCTTTCACCGAGGAGATTACTCTGTATTGACTTTTTGTTGGTGAAATATGAGAATCAATCTATTTTAAGTCTCTGTCTCTATCTCCCTCCATCCTAGCCGTCTACAGGGAGTCATGCGAGGCCTACAGACTGAATGGGAAGTACTGGTCAGGCAACTACACCATAGATCCAGATCTGAGCGGACCACTGAAACCTTTCACGGTCTACTGCAATATGTGTATGTATGAAGTGGAAGAGATTAACATGTTAAAATTAATTTCGAAGGGTTTTACATGATTTTGGATAGTTCAAATTTATAACGTCCCATTTTAGTGCAAAAATCATGGACCGTCATTGAGCACAACCGCATGAAAAGCACCAAGGTGAGCGGCTCCACTGTGGATCAACCGTACATTGGGGACGTCCAGTATGTAAACGCATCCTGGGATGAAGTCACTGCCCTGGCAAACACCTCCTTATACTGCGAACAGTGGATTGAGTTCTCATGCTACAAGTCACGCCTCCTCAATACACCACGTAAGTTTGATTTAACTTAGTACGTTGGTGATTTAATACATGAATGAAGTTAAAGGGATATAGTTCACCCAAAAACTAAATTTTTGTCATCATTTATTTACCCTCACGTTGTTCCAAACCTCCAAAGCAGTATATGGTAGAGTTTTTAAGTTATTGACTTATAGTAGATTTATGAGTAATTCTTTGAGTAGACACAAAATAAAATCCTTTTATTATCCATTATGATGTTTCTTTTTGTTTGATATCCCTAGCCCTCATTCACTTTCATCATATAAGAATTTTGGAAAGATGTTTTTCTAAAATTCACAGAAGAAAGAAGGTCACACAAGTTCGGGATTTTCTTTTTTCAGTGAACTATCCCTTCAAATAATTGAACCCATTTGAATGTTCTTTTACTGTGTGGTATATAAATGCAGCTATCACTGCGTATCTGAATTGTATAGCGTAGGTAAAAATCGTGTGTAAAGGAACCTCAGCGGTGAGTTTTTAAATGTCTATTGAAGCATTAATCTCAGCTAGGGATTCAGTGCAAAAACAGTAGAAGAGTCTAACAAGTCTGACTCAGCTGAGTATTGTCAATGTCCTTCTCAGCCTTTTTCTCTGCTGAGTATAGGAATCTTCTCAGTCACCATTTACCATTCAGTATTTTTGCAAAACTATAGTAAGGCCCAGTCATTATGGCCCTCTGCTCTGTTGATCCCAATGAGACTGGCTTGTCTACACTACCAGTAGTTTGCCACTGCACCCCATTGAGTCTTTCTGTGATTTTACTTATTGTTGTTAACAGATGGAAGGCCTTACACTTACTGGATTGGTCGGCATAATGAGAGTCATGAATACTGGGGAGGAGCTTTTCCTGAAAGTGGAAAATGCGGATGTGCTGTCAATCAAACCTGCACCGACTCCAAGTACTGGTGCAACTGTGATGCTGACTACCGCCAATGGTGAGACTGAGATGAGAAAGAATGAATAAATAAAAACAATTTTATGTCATCTAAATATACCTTTTCAACTTTATCTGAATGGCAGTGTTTGATGTTATTAAAGAAAGACAGAAATAGTATGACTACAAGCTAAACAAGTAATTTATTTGACTCTTTTTTACTCTAATTTAATTTATTGTATCTTACTTCACACTTCACTCTTCACATTTACTAGGCACTCAGATAAAGGCTACCTGTCGTTCCGTGATCATCTGCCCGTCAGGAGGATTGTCATTGGGGACACTAAACGGACCGGTTCAGAAGCTCGCTACAGTGTTGGCGCGCTGTACTGCCATGGAGACAGTGAGTAATGATACAATGGAGGAAAGTGTATCTTATATAATAAGAAGATCCTTCCTGACATGTATGTAAAGGGAAATATACAGTCTTTTGGCTTATTCTAACACAAAGCAGAGAGGCCTATGACCCTGAAAGGGTTGATTTTGATGGATGACTTTACATTTTCCTCCGTAATACACAAATTTACTTTTACCAAATAGTGTTATTGTTATATGTTCATGAGAAATCCTTCTCTTAGGGAGTATCTGGAACACCATAGCTTTCGTCAAGCCCACCTATCTGAAGTTCCCCACCTTCAAGCCCGGCACCAGTGCCGACATTACATTCCACTTCAGGACCTACCGCACTAACGGAGTGTTTGTAGAGAGCTCAGATGACCACCTCCGTAATTTCTTACGAGTTGAACTCAATTGTGAGTGTCCTTTCCATGGCAGTGGCATTGTGAATAGCTTTATAAATTCTAAAAATATATGCCATATATATAGTGATTCTGATACCTCCTTCATCAGTTTCTCCTTAAATTTTCACAGCTACAACTGAGGTGGTATTTATTTTCATGGTGGGTGATGGAATTCGAAACGTCACCCTCCGCTCACCTAAACCTCTCAATGATAATGAATGGCACTATGTAGAAGCTGAAATCAATGTAAAAATGGCTCGGCTCAAAGTTGATTTCCTGCCTCCGGCCTTGCACAAGTTCCCAGGCCAGACCTACATCACAATGAAGTTCACACAACCCCTGCTCGTAGGTAAGAATCATAGAGCTGGAGTTTCAAGCAGAGCTAATATGAAAACATTGCTTCAAGCAGTTGAAACAAAAACATACCATGCATCTGAATTCAGGAGCGGCCAATCACACCTTAAGGCCTTTCCTGGGTTGTCTGCGTGGGCTGAGGATGAACGGGGTGCCTTTGGATTTGGAGGGGAAGGTTGACGAGAGAGCTGGGATACGTAGGAACTGCACTGGAGCGTGTCTGAATGCCTCTATACCGTGTCGAAACGGAGGCCAGTGCATTGATGGGTACGCTTCATACGCCTGTGACTGCAATAACACAGCCTTCGATGGCTATTACTGTCATTTAGGTGAGTTAACATACATTTGCATATGCATATTCTCTCTCACACTCACGCTGACTCAAATGTTTGCTACTCATGTTTCCTAATAAACATATGCAAATTTAAAGTGATATCTTTTCATTTTTAGCTGGGGAAAGACTAATTATTACAAACGCATTTTAATTGTATGAGACTTAGGAGATTTTAAAAGATTAAAACTGATTATAGTTAAGGATAATAAATGGGAGTAACAAATAAACTGATGCCTCTGTTAAAGAGAGAGTCACTGCCTGAGAAGAGAGTGACAGACTTTGGCTTTAGTTTCCACTTTCAAGCCTATAAATCCAGAGCTGATTTAGGCTAAAACTAAAAGAGATTTGTCTGTTCTGTGAATTAAATTGCTTTTGATGATCTGTGTGAGAATATTTAAAACTATGGCATAGAGCTGAATTGAGTTTTACAAAAAAAAAACACATATCTATACACCTATTATACTCACCAGCAGGATTCATAATGGGCTCATGATTTAAAGGAGTAGTTCACTTTAAAAAAAAAAAAAAGAAAATTGCTGATAATTTACTCACGCCTTTCTTTACTCATGTCTTTCTTTCTTCAGTCGAAAAGAAATGAAGGTTTTTGATGAAAATATTCCCGCATTTTCTCCATATAATGGACTTCATTGGGAACCAAACGGTTCAAGGTCCAAATGAGAGTTGCAGTGCAGCTTCAAAGGGCTTTAAACGACACCAGACAATGAATAAGGGTCTTATCTAGCGAAACGATCGCTCATTTAAAAAATAAATAAAAAAGTTTAAGTTTTATAAGCTCAAATGCACGCCTTGCTCTGTTCTGTGATGAGCGTTCGTGACTCTCCTGTTCAAACTCGTTCATCAAAATGAACAAACCTTTTTTTTCATGACTCGAAGGGTCCTAGATAAGACCCTTATTCATCGTCTGGTGTCGTTTAAAGCCCTTTGAAGCTGCACTGAAACTTTCATTTGGACCTTGAACTGTTTGGTTCCCATTGAAGTCCATTATATGGAGAAAATCCTGGAATGTTTTCATTGAAAAGCTGAATTTCTTTTCGACTGAAGAAATAAAGAGGTGGACATCTTGGGATAAGGGGGTGGAGATGGGTAGAATTAGGGGTGGGGTTAGGGATCAGGGGGTGGAGATGGATAGGTTGGTATCTGTAAGGTGGGAGGAGTTGGATGTGGGTCCAACTCCTGCCCTAATGTTACAATTTAAAGACCGAATATCACAGAGGTCAGAATAATAAACTTATTAATATTCTAAACTACAGTCAAAAAAATGATGAATTGCCAAATGATGAGATTATTCAAGTTTTATGATGTGTCTATCGTGTCTATTTGATTTTTTTTTTTACGTTAAATCCACATGTGTGAGGGGTACCCATGAACAATGATCTCTGCTTGTGTCACATCCTTTTAGATATCGGGGCGTTCTTTGACGTGGGAGCGTGGCTGCGGTATGACATCCGCAAAGAGCCCATTTCCTTTGATGCATGGTGGGCGAACTTCTGGATAGAGCCTCACTGGCACAACTTCACCCTCGGCTACAACACGACAACTGATGACATAGAGTTCAGCTTCAGCACTTTACAGGCTCCAGCTGTGCTCCTCTATATCAGCTCCTTCGGCAATGATTACATCGCCGTCCTGCTCAAGAAAGATGGTAAACACACACACACACACACACACACACACATCACACCAGAGCATTCAAAACATTAGCTTTAGCACTGATGTCACTTCCTTTGCAGGTACTCTGTCACTGAGATATCGGCTTGGTATAATAAGCTACAAATTTAAGTTGACTGACAGAAACATGGCCGACGGCTTTCCTCATTTCGTCAACATCACCCGACACAACTACACAGTATGGACACAGGTAGGATCTCAAACTAGATTTGACATGTTTTTCACTGTTATTAGTATCCCCAAAGCACACTGTTTGTATATGGATTTGTACCTGGATTTAGGTGGACTACATGGATCCGTGGATTGAGAAGTTAATACCAGGAGAGATTCCTAGATTTGACTCACCAAAGTCTATATTCTTGGGTAGAGTCATGGGTAAGACAAGAATTTTTATTTTGAAGGTATTATGTAACTTTTGGCCCTGTAGTTGTTAGAAAACAAAACTGTGATTTCGCTGCTCTGTATCAACCACTTGTTGTGACAACTAATCTATACGCTGATTTCACGCAGCCGCCATTTTGAAATCGAAAGTGAGGTTCTGGTGGGAAGAATCTTGGAAGTACAGATAGACAACAATGCCTTGGACTCCCCAACCTGAAGCTGTTGCCGTGATTTACACCATTGGATGTTAATTTCCAATATAGGATCTGTATATAGTTCATTCCTGTTTCTTTTTTTACGTTCTGAAATTATTTATAAATTATTTATAAATTTATGTACATTTTTAGAATAACAAATTTCTACATTAAACACAACAATACACCATCGCATTCGCGACTCTCCTATGATTAAAGGCGATTAATTAAACTGATTAGATTAGGTGATTAGGTCCTAAAGATTAGGTGGTGGCGGGCCAAAAAAATTAAAAAAAAAAACAGATTAGATTAAACTTCTGGTTTTCTTCCCTCCAGAGCCATTTCAAAATGGCGGTTGCGTGAAATCAGCGTATACACACGTCAAAGCCAGAGCAGCTTTTCTCTATTACTTTTTACAAATGTTTTGTCAAAGCACTATATAAATAAAGCTGACTTGACTTGACTTTACAGATATAATACTAAAAAATGCTGGGTTGTTTTAACCCAATTTTGGGTAATGGGCTTTATGCACAGCTGCACTACTTCCTAAACTTCAACCAGCTCCTTGTTTCCTGTCTGCCATTATTGGCCAAATTGATTAATTCAGGTGTACCTGACCTCAGTAGTCATGGCAACAATAATCAGACACACCTGAATTAATCAATTTGGCCAATAATGGCAGACAGGAAACAAGGAGCTGGCTGAAGTTCAGGAAGTAGTGCAGCTGGGCATAAAGCCAATTATGGACAAACCCAGCCATTGGGTTAAATGTTTTTATTACATTTTTAACCCAACATTTGGGTTTGTCCATATTTTACCCAAAGTTGGGTTAAAACAACCCAGCATTGTTTAGAGTGTATATATATATATATATATATATGTATATATAAAATATAAAAACTTATAATAAGCCATTACCATAGTGAATTAGGGTACGAAAAAAACACATTTTGGCAGAAGGATTGATCATGTATTGACTTTTTTTTGAAGAAGAAGAAGAAGAAGAAAAAAGTTACATTGTATAGCTTGAACTTGTTGTATGTGAATGAAAAGTTGCATTTACTAGATGAAAAGAGCATTTGATTTGCTTTCTGCTCTTCTTTGTAGAGGTGGGAGGAGTAGACTACGAAATTCAGAGGCACAACAGTCCAGGTTTTATGGGCTGTATATCAGGGGTCCGCTATAATATCTTTGCCCCACTGAAGGCCTACTTCCGACCCAATGTAACCAGTCCACCTGTGACGACTCAAGGCTATGTGGTGGAGTCTAACTGTGGGGCGTTTCCCCCCGTCTTAGGATATGTTCCTTGGGAGGATGACCCCTGGTTCACTGGCCTTTGTAAGACTACATGTTCTGACATTCACATGAATGCCTAACATACTCTATACAGTACTATTCATGTTTGTGGTCAGTAAGATCATTTTTTTAAAAGAAATTAATACTTTGATTCAGCTAGGATGCATTAAATTGATCAAAAGGAACAATAAAACCATTTATATTTTCATAAAAACTAATTTCAAACGTTCGAGTCATCAAAGAATCCTGGCAGAAAAAGTATTATGGTTTCAAAACTGCTGAAATTCAGCTTTACCATCAGAGGAATATATTAAATTTTAAAATATATTCAAATAGAAAACTATTATATTTTAAATTCTATGAATATTTCATAATATTACTGTATTTTGATCAAATAAATGTTGCCTTGGTGAGCATAAGAGATTTATTAAAAAAAACATCAAACAAATCTTACAGACCCCAAACTTTTGAATGGCAGTGTAAGTAAATAAAAGTATGGTGAAATTTGTTGCATTTCTTCTCTCACAGAATGTTTTGGTTATTGAACTGTGATTGAATGTTGTTTTTAACCCTCAAGTAATGCTTCTCTCTTCTTCTTTTTTTAGTCTTTTATTACATTCATGATGATGTCACCCCACCTTGGATGACATGTAAGTTTACAGTCATTGTTTTAAATAATATTTAGCGCTATTTTCCGAACACCTCTTATGTCTGATGCTTCCCGTCACATTTCCACCACCCTCTCAAAAAAAGTGACAAAAAAACAAACTATTTCTGTTAAATCTAAGTACAATTCTATATTCTGTTTTCCTTGTTTTGTTTTCTTTTTGTCTTTTATTCCATTTCATCCAGAACTGCAAATTATGCTGATCTTCTCTGTTTCAGAAGCTAAAACCTATTTTTAAAATCCTCTTAATTTGCAGAACACAGGATTAGGGAACATTCATGGGAATATAAGCTTCTGCATAAAGCCGAGCTTCTGCAAATGACAGAAACTTGGTATCATCAGTGATAAAACGATAATATAATGTATATGGAATAAATTAAGGAGTAAGCATCAGATCTTTACAAATGACCTTATTCTGGACAATGTTACTGTTACTTAGTATGTTCTAGATAAATTTTTTGCTGTAAATGTTACAGAACCTCTTTTATAATACTAACAAGATCATTTCGAGATAAAAGACCCATCAGAACAATGCAACAAGACCAATTTTCAAATTGAACAAACTTTCACAATTTTCATAAAACGTTTTATCTGTATCCTTGCTCTTTTTTTGCAGTCGACCATTGTTGCTTACCTCAAATCCTCTTTTTCTCTAGCTGATTGTCATCTCTTTTCCAGGATAAACAAGACTTGTTTCCCACACACATTCACACACACTTAATCCTCTTTGCCAGCGAGTGCAGATCTCACAGAAAAATAGAAGATTCTTCATGCAACTCTTTTCCATAATAACAACCAAGTCAAAGTGACTAGAACAATCAAAAAAAAAATTATAATGCATTAAAATTCTCCATTTGTGTTTCACAGAAAAGCACATATATATAGATTTTTTATTTTTGGGTGAACTATCCCTTTAAAGCTTTTGAGTACATGTGGGCTGACAGTCAGCAGTCTGTCCTGTGAATTCTGCAACATGATACAAATTATGTTTAATCCATCATTTGCAGACAGCTCAGCTAGGGCACCATAAGAGTATTAAACTTAATGCTAAAGACTGCTGTCTCTCTCTCTCTGTGTGTGTGTGTGTTTCTCCACAGTAATCGTCACTGTGTCTCTGATGTTGCTCTTCCTGATCCTGTACGGCCTCTACATTTACCTGTACAGGTATAAAGGCAGTTACCACACGAACGAACCGAAACAGCTCGAGTCGCCCAGCTCCTCTCGGCCCCTCACTGATACACTACGAAAGGATAGAAAGAACCTGCCGGAAATACAGGAGGAAAGTCCCAATGAATAACACACAACTACAGACTGAGGGATGTCTGGAAGAAAAAAGAGAAGTACTGGTGATTATGAGGGAGGTAAAATAGTGGAGACTAAGTAATGAGTTGCAAATGTGATTTTTATTTTATTTTTATGTATCTTTCGCTTTTATGGTAATGTTACTGTATATTTATTTTTCTGTCCCATTATTTTTTACAGTGTAATCTGATATTTGGTGCTTTTGGCAGGGCTCAAAATAAGCAGGCTAAAGGCAGTTTACCATCTGATCAATGAGCATTGGCAGTGCAGGCCGACTGAAGTGCCTCAGCAACATTACAGGAAACTTTCAAAGACTGATCCAGGGTTCCCACGGTTACAGAGACTTGGAAATATCAGGGAATTTTAGAATTGTGATTTCCAGGCCTATAAAACGTATTGGAAATGAATACAATCATGTAAATTTGTGTTGACAATTAATATTCTTTATAATCATGCCCATCTCAGCAGTATTTCATTGGTTATAAATTCACTTTTTTGCATGCGATATCAATAATATTATTTTTACAAAATGCATATTTTTAAAAATCAAGAATGACTGAAAAAAAAAAAACGTTCTGTATACCCAATGTAAATCTGTATAGTTATGCTGATTTCACTCAGTTTTGTAGGTTAGAAATTCACTTTTTGTGAGTGCCATATAAAAAAAAAAAAAAGATCACAACTGACTGGAAATGTAATGGAAATTGAAAACCAATTCAAAATTTCTGTAGTCATTATAAATCTTTCTAGCTATGTCCATCTCAAAAATATTTTCTTGGTTGAAAATTCACTTAATGTTTTAAAAATAAATAATAGAACTAAAATAAATAATTAGGGCCGTCAAACGATTAATCGCGATTAATCGCATCCAAAATAAAAGTTTGTGTTTACATAATATATGTGGGTGCATTGTGTATAATAATTATATAAATATATATATATATATATATATATATAAATACACACACATGCTTATATATATTTTAGAAATATTTTCATGTATATAGATTTATATATAATTTATACTATATATAAATATTTTATATATGATTAATATTTTTTCTCAAATATACATGCATGTGTGTGTATTTATATAAAATAATTATACAGTACACACACATATATTATGTAAACACAAACTTTTATTTTGGATGCGATTATTCGTTTGACAGCCCTATAAATAATTTAATAAAAATCTGTATTATCACACATAAATGACTGGAAAAATTGAAAATGCATTCGTCTAATGATGTGGGAGCCCTGTATATACTAGGCTATGTGAAATCTTTTTGGCTCATTATTGTGTACTGGCAAAAGTAGTGTAGATTTAAGTGTCTCATAGTCATGCTGTTGTGTTAATGAGATAACCTGCACAAAATGCACAACAACCTTCAGAGAACAAAGTTTCTAAGATGTAGATATGTTTACACATATCTGTTTTTTCATCACTGAAACTACTTTAGCATATAGTATGGATGAATACGCTCAGACATAGCTAATGGTATTTAAGTTTATATGTTAAACTACTGCCTAAATTCGGTTGCGGCGCTTATAAGAGATGGAGAGTCAAATGGCATTGAATGGCTTCAGCTTCTTTAGAGCACAATGACTTTAATGTGCTGAACAATAATATGTCAGGGGAAATATTGTTTCTGTGGCATGTGAACAACTGCAGAAAGGTGTTTTTGTGATAGTAGCCATTTTGCTTGCAAACAACAGAGGTATAACATTCATAAAGATTAGGACATTTTTGTAAAATTGGATCCTTGAAAGGTTTACAAAGAAAAGTTTCTTGGCTGAAGGCCATGCGATGTCTAGCCATCTTTCCAAGCGTCAGACATGAACATGGTGTGTTGTTCAGTCGGTAACACTGATCATGATGGCATATGATAGAGAGCTACGTGTTCTTCTCACTGCTGCCACAGCAACATACACCTTTTCAAGCCATTCTATAGGCATTTCGACACTGACCTTCAAAATGACCTACCTTTATATTTTACAAACCCAATGCAGGCCGGAATAAGTTTTCAGCGATCAGAGAAGCCGTTTTCCTCCTCGTGTCCTCTGTCTGTTCGTAGGGAATTCTTCCTGTGGGCCAAAGCAAACTGCAATAGATTTTTTATAGAAGTGTACCATGATGTCATACTTCTGTTCAGTCTACATCATATTCATGATTTTAAAAACAAGTGTTGTAGACCAGTGATTCCCAACCAGGAAAAAAAACCCCAAAACAATTGGAATTAATATATTTTTTTCCCAGTTTATTTTTCAAGGAAAGAAAACATTTTGTAACGCGTGCAAGTTTTATATTTATGTGGTCGGTTTTGCATTCATAATGCTTTTATTTTCGTCAGTAAAAATGTTAATGGTGTACTTTAGCCTTATTGAGCGGCCTATCAGGTACACAAGATGAAAGTTTGGGAACTGTTTTGGACACACTGCACTTTTATAGTGTGGATCTGCTGGCTGAATGTGTTTACTTAGTTGTGGAGTCTACAATCTACAGGGTTTATTGTTCCAGGGGGAAAAAAAGTAGACAGACTGTTCCTGTTTTAGCTTTGGACCAATAATGGAGTGACAGAAACACTAAAATGACATCTTTAGAATGTAGAGGAACAGCAATCTTAACATGTTTTAAAGGAGTAGTTCACTTTTAAAAAAAACTTTTGCTGATAATTTACTCACCCCCGTGTCATCCAAGATGTCCATGTCTTTCTTTCTTCAGCCGAAAAGAAATTAAGGTTTTTGATGAAAACATTCCAGCATTTTCTCCATATAATGGACTTCAATGGGAACCAAACGGTTCAAGGTCCAAATGAGAGTTTCAGTGCAGCTTCAAAGGGCTTTAAACGACACCAGACGATGAATAAGGGTCTTATCTAGCGAAACGATCGCTCATTTCAAAAATAAATAAAAAAGTTTAAGTTTTATAAGCACAAATGTACGCCTTGCTCTGTTCTGTGATGAGCGTTGGTGACTCTCCTCTTCAAACTCGTTCATCAAAATGAACGAATCTTTTTTCGAGTCATGACTCGAAGGGTCCTACAGTAGTTAAGACCCTTATTCATCGTCTGGTGTCGTTTAAAGCCCTTTGAAGCTGCACTGAAACTCTCATTTGGACCTTGAACCGTTTGGTTCCCATTGAAGTCCATTATACGGAGAAATTCCTGGAATGTTTTCATCAAAAACCTTAATTTCTTTTCGACTGAAGAAAAAATGACAAGGACATCTCGGATGACATGGGGGTGAGTAAATTATCAGCAAAAGTTTTTTTTAAAGTGAACTACTCCTTTAATATCATGAATTGCAATTGATTGTTTAAGTAAGGACAAAACTAGTCATAAAGCAGCTGAAATGTTTGCACAAGGTCATGATCACTGAGAAGTTATTGTGCTCGAGAGGCTTTCACACATCCCAGACTGAAGTCCGTGGATGGAAGACTCCCATGTATAAAGTCATGTTTTTTTTATATACATTTCTTCATGCATTTGCTGTAGGACACCATTATTGCTGCTGCTGCTGCTGCTTCTTAGCTGTTTTGATGGCATCTTACCCAGAGCTTAGTTCACGTTCGTCGTCTTTCATGATGTAAAATGAGCAATCAAAACAAAACAAAAAAGAGCAAATAATGTAGAACATATATTATCTTTAGAAGCTATGCATTTTGCATGACTACTGCACTTTTCATCGAAATGCAATAAGAAAAAGAAGAATCCGCTGCTTCCAGTGCCAGGCACATGTTCTTTAGTCTGTTTCTTTAACAGAGCCATAAAAGCTTTTATCAAAGAGATCGCTAAATATTCACCCACAGATTATGCTGTTAATGTATATGTATAAATAAAGTGTACTTCTCTTTTTATCATTCAAATTTGTACAAAAAGGCAGGCAAGTGAGACTATTTTGAATAGATGAGTGTTGAATAAGTTCAGCTTTAACCTCATGACCTCTGCCAGGTTTCTAAACCTCCGCTTATGTCTCTTCTGTTAATCTTTTATCTTCATGTATCCCTCATTCTTTTACTTCTTCCCTTCTATCACCCTTTGAACCAGTGGAATATAGACATTCAATTCATTTTTACTTTGAAAAGAGTCTTGAATGAAGAATTAAATTGCACAGGGATGAACACCTTTCAAAGTCTCTTCATACTTGACATTTCTTTAAAAAGTGAGCATAAATAATTACACCAGATTGGTATTTTTCCAATGAATGTTCATGTGATATGAGAAGATGGCTGGTATTCAGCACTAGTTTGTGTGATGTATGTTTGTGTAAATGAGGTCTCTGTCAATGCTTTAACCAGCTGCAGCTAAAATGAATGTTACCTCATTGACATACATTTAACTGGATGTTTGAAGAAAACCACATCAGTGATCAAGCATGTGGAGGTCTGTTTGTTTCATTTGGAGAAATGTATCAATAAATTCATGACATTCTCCTTAGGGATCCATTTTACATGCAATTTCAATTCACTAAATCACTGTGAAATGTTTTCCAAATGCACATACATACATGCACTCCTGTTTGACCAAATCGGAAATTATGATATTTGTACTTGAGGCAAACAGTACATATACCATTATTTACTTTTCAGTACATTACCATTCAAAAGTTTGGGGTCAGTAAGATTTTGTTTTCAAGGATCCATTAAATTGATCTTAAGTGACAGTAAAGACATTGTTACCAAAGATTTATATTATAGTTCTTTTGAACTTTCTATTCATAAAAGAAAAAGACCATCATGAAGCAGCACAATAGTTTTGAACATGGAAAACAATAATAAATGTTTCTTAAGCAGAAAATCATTTTAGAATGATTTCTTGACATTGAAGAGTGAAAAATCAGCTTTGTAATCATCAAATTAATATATTCAATTTTAAAATATCTTATTTTAAAGTTCAAGTAATTTTGGTGACACTTTACTTGAAGGGGTGTGCATAAGACGTAACCACTCATAATGGCATGACACCTTCATAACCATGACATGATGAAGTAAGGTTTATGCATGTTTATGACAACTGAACTGTTATTAAGTGACATTTCGAATGCAAATATGACATTGTTTAAGATGTCTTTATGACATCTTGACATAAACCAATACATCATAACCCGGCAGTAACAACTTAACATTAAATTAAGTTAAACTGTCATGTAGTTGGCTTTGACATTGGCTGTCATGAGGCATTATAACTGTGTCATGAATATTTTTCGTGACCTCAACTACAGTGGTACTAATTCAATTTGTCATTAAAATGTTATAATGTCTTCATGACAGCCAATGTCAAAACCAACGACCTGACAGTTTAATGTAATGTTAACCAATAAAACTAGGTGGTTTCTTAAGTTTGATAATTAATCTGCTATGTCATGTTTATGACAGGTTGTGTTGTCTTAGTAATGTCAAGTTGACATGACAAAGACACTGACAGGTTATGATGTATTGGTTTATGTCAAGGTGTCATAACAAAGACATCTCAAACACTGTCATATTTGCATTAAAAATGTCATAATTGAGCGAATGACTCTTAATGACAGTTGTCACAAACATGCATAAAAACTTCCTTCATATTCATAACACGTGTCATGTCATGATTATGAAGGTGTCATGTTAGTCTTATGCACAC